CAGGCAGTTATGAGATGGATAGCTGGAGTAAAATGTGTACAGATAAGGGGTATCGTCGGTCGGATGATGTCAGGCCACTGCTAGATGACGATGCTGGTGGGTATACAGCACAGTGCGAGTGACGGTTTCGTTGTTGAGTTTGACTTTGACATGAGGGTCACGGAGCCTATTGAAATCACCGCGGATCTTGAGATGAAGTTGTTCGATTGTAATGCTTTGAGACTTTGTCTGGTTGCGAGCTTGTCTCAGGTGGCAGGATAAACGTCTGCTCAATGTCATAGTAGTTTTATTCCCTACACATTCTGCGGTGTGTATACTCACAAAGTCACAATTACGCATTTTGACAGTAGTGTCTATAGTGAGAATTGTGTTTAATTTAAAAACGTATTCCTGGTGTTTTGTTACTCATGATTATACATGAGTTTAATCAGAAAATATATTGTGAAAATTGCGTATAAATAAAAGACTTATGATATAATATTGTCCAACATTTTTTACTGCTGTAATGATTATTATTCACATATATATTGAAAACTTTTTGCATTGTTTCCCAGTTCAGTGGAACTTTCATCATGAGAAGTAAATGTTATTTATATCATTGCTCTGTTTAAATTGTTGTTCTATAGTTGTCACTTTTGGCACACATGATTGATAACAAACAGATATTAGGAACATTGCCATGTACCAAGGAAAATCATTAGAAAAACAATACCTGAAATTCGTTAATTTTCTTTTGGATATCTTCACATTGATATAAATATGAAAGAATAAATAAATTTGAAGGAAGTATCAAATGAGTTGTCAAAGTTAAAATCGTTCGCGTGACAATAATCAAATAACAATCGGGAACCTTTTTCAATCAAGCACAAGTTGTATATGTAGCCCATTGGACGTTCTCTCATTGATGAAGTTTGTGCACGCAATACTCAAGATTTATGGGTCGAATTTACGTTTTAACTTAATTTGCTTCTTAACCAGACTTCTCACAATATATTTTTTATTTTAGTTTCTTAATTGTACTAAGCTTTAGTATTATATCATAATTTTTGAATATCCAAATATTATGCATGACATTCATGGTGACTATTCAGCCTATCTAAGTCCTGCTGATTACCACCACGAGTATCGCGTATCTCAAACACAAGCAACCTATATTACACTTGATTCTATTTTGCTGCTCTATAACTCGCCTATCCTGATGTTGACCATCTCAATCATTATTATCCAAATCTTATTTACTGCTTATTTATATATTTCTTATTTCTTAATTTATATATTTCTTATATATTTAAAATCCTATATACCGCTTATTTATATATTTCTTCTTGAACTTTTTCATGTGGTTGTTCTGTAACTTCATGACACGCAGACCAAATGAAGTTAATGCGACATACTGGTTTGTCGCTTGAAATATTCGATAAAAAATGTTCAGAAGGAAATTTTCGAAAGACTATCAAGAAATTCTTGCTATATAAATTTTTAAAATGAGAAAATATATCTATAAATATTTTACATTGCCTGGCATCGCCGGGCACGGCTATTCATGAATGATATTTTATTGTCCGGATATACATCAAATCTTCGGCCCCCAGCTCCGCAGCATTGTGCACAGTTTGTGTAATTGTACAGGAGGCGTTCATCACTTTCTCGATAGCCATAGGAGTGAGAATCGCATTCAGTATTTATCAGACTAAAGAAAACTTCATCACCCCTAGTCTTTCTAGAGGGTGATGATAATATTATTCCAATATTATTATTATTGCATACAAAAAATAAATAATGACAATATTATTCCAAAAGCGTGATCGCCTTCTGGTCTGTTTGGAAATAAATATAGCATCGAGCCTTTACCACGCGGTTCAAAAATTCCATACCAGACTCCACGATAAATAACTACAATAACAATATTATCCCGAGAACTTCATCCCATTCTAAAATCTCTTGCCAGCATTCGAGTATCAAGAATACCGGCTCGGCATTCCCTGCTGCGGCCGAGATTGTCTTACAGCAGCACTCAGTCAAGCGTCATACAGCAGCACTCAGTCAAGCGTCATACAGCAGCACTCAGTCAAGTCTTGGATGCCAGCTTAATGTTGCTGGATGAGCTTATCAATTGCGTGGGATGGATGTGATGCCCCATGATTGAGTGGTGCACAAATAAGGCAGAACTTTTTCCAGACCAGTTGCTGGGAACTGTCGACCTGCATTCAACTCATCGCTATGACCGAACCATCAATCTCGGTGTGCTGATTCAGGGTTTGTGCAGAAATTGATATGTAGTGGTAATTCTGAATAAATTTTATTGTTTTAAAAATATCAAGCAAATGCAATAGCCCGATAGTAATAATAATAATAGTAATATGCTGATACAGTAAAATGCATAAAACAAATGTGGTGAAAAGATACATTTCTTGAGATTCATGCCTGAATTTTCTCAACTACATTGAGAGCATGCAAAATTCACTAGTCACCGTCTAGTAATAGAATACAATTTCAGCATTTTTATCAAGACATAACAGTAATTTCTGTACTATATTTAAAATGGCTTAGACGAACCAAATTTTAAACTAAATTACAAATCAATTATTGCCATGATTTATTCAAAATCAAATGAAGTCATACTACGTATCTCTGACTTCGCATATATTATTTTCTAAATCAGTACCAACTATCCATACCGCCAGCATTAGCTTGCATTGAAAAAATTTTCCACGATAGAAGACAAGAGTAAAATTTCGTTCAGCACTTATAGGACCCAAGTGGAACGCTAACATTTTTATATGTATTTTTCAAATAATATTTTATTTTTCTGCAAATCTTTTACATCATGTAACGGCTCTTTACATCCTGTAACGAGTCTTTCAAATCTTTTAATTATTCCGTATACGGAATGAAGGGTTTGGTGCGAAATTATTTTAAAAGCTTCAGCGATATCATGGCGCAGCAAAATTAATTTCAAACATAAAGTTGCATATTTTTGAGGTCGAATTTAGGTTAGGAATGAAATGTGCACCTCGAATGATGTACGTAATCTTTCCATATTGATTTGGAGAAAGCGGGGAAAAACCAAGATTAAACCAAGTAGAAAGCCTTGATGGAATGCTTTTTGCATGTTTGCTTATGTATAAATTGCTCAATTATAATTAAAAAAAGTAATGCAAATAGATTATTGTGCAAGGGTGAGAGCAAAGAAAGTTTCAGGATCTACCCTATCGGCAATTCCTGCTTATTTTGAAGTTTGAAATCGCATGAAGAACTGATTGGTGTTGGTGGCTGTTATGGAGGCTGGGAAATAAACAATCTCGTAGGAAGAATTATAAAAAATACAGGAGTATCGATATTGGGTTAATCAGAGTGGCCATTTTGCGATGGCGGTGCATCGCGCGTCGCAGCCCTCGGACATCCTCAGAGGGGCAGAGGGGAAAAGGGGAACAAAGGGTTGCAAAATATACTAGAGTGAGGGGAGATGCAAGGAGATTCGCGGGTTAGGTCGGATATTGCGAAAGAGTGGGAACTGAGAGAATTTTTCGTGAACGTATTTTTAGAACGTATTGTATTATGTAGGAAAATTTATGTTGTAAGCTAGAAACAGTGAATTACCAAGAAGCGCGTTCCGTTAAACCATAAAAAGTGAATCGTTCCACTAAGTATGAAGAGAGAATTGAATGATGAGACAAATAATTGGAAGATAGAAGCCCTTCACTACTTGACTCTCCCTCCTCACCTACCACGAAACTTTTTCTTTTGTCGTGAACTTTTCGTCCTCATATCACTAACGCCCAACCTCTTTGGCCACAAAAGTTGCCATTTTTTTGCCGCAACTGTCTTCGCACTTATTTTACAACATCCTGACTTATGTGTAACAATCAATATCTTTCTTTCACAAAAATTCTCATCCTCGTGTCGCAAACAACCACGTCCTTTTGTCACAAACGTTCTCATGCTTCTGTCTCAAGTTTCACAGCCCCTCTGTAACAAACGTCCACACATTTCTGTCATTTCTGTCATGAATATATATTAAAGTTTGTGGCTCTTCGTGCCACAAACTTTAACTCCTACAGTCACATTTTAACAGTTTACAGTTTAACTCCTTCTCTTTTGTCAAAATTAGTAGGAAACACCTCCGTGTGAAAAAAGCAAACTGATAAATTGAAACAAAATACTCACTTGATTTCTCATTCAAAAATTCTAATGCAATAGTTCAGATTATCAGTTATGTTCGGGTCATCATAAATATCAACACAATCAATCAATTGTCTGTCTACTTAAATATATTTATTTTAGAATGGAAATGAAATTGTATTTGTTACCTCTCCTACAGTCCTATCCTTTAAATTTATCTAAATTTTGTAGCAGTCTAAATTTCCTTTTTATTTCAAGTTTTGAAGAATCAAAGTGCAGATGATTTTGCACCATAGAAAGCGTTTGGTTTATAAGTTTGCTGTTAACTTTAACGCATGACCACTGATATTCGCCTATAATGTGTAAAGACAATCGGCCGAAATATCAACTGATATTTGCCAAATATTGAGCTGTAATGTGTTCTGAAATTCGACATATTGGGCTCTAATAATGCGCACTGATATTCGGCTGTTTATAGCGATCAGATAATCGCATTAAAGTGGGTACTAAAATTTCGCATATATTTAGCTATAATGTAAACTGCTATTCGACATATGTTCAGCTGATATGGGTTCTGATATTCGGCATAAATTGTGCTGAAATGTGTACTGAAATTTGAGATATATTCGGCACTAATTTGCACAGATTTTCGGCCGAAATGTGCTTTGAAATTAGCCATATTACTCGTATATTAGGTTGTAATATGCACAGATATTCGGCCATATATTTTGTATAGAGTATATACATTTACGGCGGAATATCTGTGCATACAAATATCTGTACATACGGATAAATATCTGTACATACGGATATTTATACAATCTATAGATATATCTATACAAACATATAGATTACAGATATTCGGTATATTCCCTCACCCTCGAGCATGGCGAGCGTTGCCTGCGGAGGCCGGCCTCGTCGCACCTCGGCGCCTGTAAAACAGAAGTCTGCGTCACTGTGACAGCACCGCTCACGGCCTCATGCTTGTGATGGTCAAACATAATTGGAGATAAATGCTGGAATGCACCTCTGGATAATTTGAGATAAATAAAAAAGTAAAATGTGAAGGTACAGTTTACAATTAAAAATTATGATAAAATTAGAAAGGGTTAAATAATAACGCGTAACCGAGATGGCCTACGCCATGATGGTCATAACCGATAGTTTAAGAACAAAGCTGGAATGCACTGCTGGATGATTTGTGATAAATAAAAAAGTCAAAAGAGAAGGTACATCATACATTTAAAATTGTATGAAATACTTAGAAAAGGTTAAATATTAACGCTTAACATGATATACCGAGATGGCCTTTTGAAAGTATCAAACAATTTAAAAAATTAATCGTAATGGTTCAACATGTCGTTTTCAAAAATGGTAAAATATATAGAGAAAGAGCAAATAAGATGGAATAACATAGTATAACAAATCACCCTTGAGATGCTATACCGTTAAAAGAGTAAATTGAGATTTTACAAATTTATTTACAGAATTGAGATAAAGATGTACTCCCATAAGATGGCAGAACATGGTTGAAAGAATATATTAAAAAACGGGATAATCCAGTATATTCCCGTTGCAAATGCACCAAATGGAGATGCAGAGAATTTTAGTGACATTTTCTCGCCTTTGAACTCAAATGACCGTTTAAACAATCAAATGATCTAGATGAATGAACAATTATTAAGGCTAAATATCTAAGGAGTACGTACCTGATCAATGTGGGAGGGTATATATGTGAGAGGCCATTCACGACACGATATGAATTTATTAAACAAGGCTTTCGCTAATATGGTATAAGATAATTAACAGAGTTCATGCTTGCCCTGGTATAGATGACCATTGAGTGTACTTCTGTTAAAGACCACCGCATTTATCAGCACAGCATTTCCGTGTGACTCTACCGTATCTACTTCCATCCATCAGGCTCAAGTCTACCAAAAGGATGCAGGAATAGGCAGGGATCATCGAAACCAATTATAAGTCACATGGAAAGAAAATTTACCAATCGAGTATCAGAAATAAAATTATTTTAACCAAAATGACTAACTGGTAATGTGGAACTATGTGCGATGCGTAGGGTTGTGTTTTCTGTAGTGTTTCTACGAAAAGTTTTAGTTCTGAAATATTTTGCGGTATGCGGTCTTTTAAATTTATTCATGCATTAAACCTGGTGTAACCAATAATGTTATAAATTGTTAAAGTATAGCCGCTTCTTTCGGAGATCATGTATGACATAATCAGTCTACCTCCACTCAATTGAATAAAAAAACCTTGCGTCGCAAAAAACACAAACTTTTATAACTGATTGATGACAAAAAAGAAAGAATGAAGTTTAATCGTAAAAATTCATCGTAAATTCATCATATTCTTCATAAAAAACTTTATACTTACATCAATATTAATCGGAGCTGCTTATCTAATTAGAACTTGTTGTTGATGTTATGTTCAATACATAATTTTCTTTGTTACATTTAAAAAAAAGTGAGTCAGAAAGTTTCCTGCAAATCGATTCGTTTCAATCGATTCGGGTAATTTAATTTATATTAAACGAGAAATTAAAATAAATGAAAGTCGAAAAGCATTTTTCGGCGGCATTATGATAAGAGCTTTTGCTTTGTTGAGGATTACATGGTCAAATTTCAGAAGAAGCTTGATATACGAGAATAATATTTTGCCCCGTGTTCCAGCCAACGGTGCTCATCACGTTAGCAACTCTACGGAGACACTCGCCCCATTTAGCACACAACTCCGCTTATCGAGAGCTCTCATCAGGAATCCCACATCAGGGACTGCAGTGTACTTTTTAGAAAAGCGTCAGTTCTTTGTAGTTCCAAAGTATATTATCAATGTAAAATATCGTCTGATCATAAGCTATCATTTGAGATTATTAATTTATTACACGTTATTAGAAATTTATAACTTTTTGTTGAACACAAAATTCAAGGATTCCTGTAGGATAGTAGATATTTTTCAATACCTTAACTACAAAGGTGATCGAATACGTCAAAATTCATATGAGTAAAATTTCGTGTGAAGAAGCATTAAAATATACCTTTTCATTTGCATATGAAATAGGTTATTTTGAGGAAAATAATTGGCGATTGATATGCTACATATGCAACTTTGTTTAAAAAATTCAAATTCTTGATGGACGCAAAAACATCATAATATCGTATTCACTCGTCTGTGCGATCTAAATTTTAAAAGGCAGCCATTAAACGACTGCTCATGATTTATCTTACTGAAATTTCCATGAAAACCATTAAAAAATATTATCATATAAAAATTTACATCTCATATCCACAAGAAACTTGCAAAAAAAATTGGTGATCAAATTCGGTTACATTTTATTTATACTTTCAAGCTGGCGCTGATTTTGAACGCGGTACCACAGAGTTAAGGTAAATTTTTGCATTGATAGCAGAAATTACAGCGTCCTATGAAGCGTCGCTTACGATCGAAGGCTTCATCGGTGCACACAAAGAAATCCCGGGGTGAGGCCGAGAAACAGCCTCTTGAAAGCTTATGATAAGGTAAACTATAGATGAATATGTTTATGATAAATGATAGAGTGAACGATAGATGAAAGGTAAACAATAGGTGATAAGGTTGACGATAAATGATAGAGTGAACGATAGATCATAGAGTGAACGATAGATGATAAGGTAGACGATAGATGATAAGGTAGACGATGGATGATAGGGTGAACAATAAATGATAGTGTGAACGATAGATGATAAGGTGCGATAGATGATAGGGTGAACGATAAATGATAAGATTGACGATAGATGATATGGTATACGATAGATGATGAGGTCGATGATAGATGATAAGGTTGACGATAGATGATAGGGTGAACAATAAATGATAGTGTGAACGATAGATGATAAGGTGTGATAGATGATAGGGTGAACGATAAATGATAAGATTGACGATAGATGATATGGTATACGATAGATGATAAGGGCGATGATAGATGATAAGCTACATGATAGATGATAAGCTAGATGATAGATGATAAGTTAGATGATAGATGATTAGGTATATGATAGATGATAAGTTAGATGATAGATGATAAGGTAGATGATAGATGATAAGGTTGACGATAGATGATATGGTATACGATAAATGACAAGGTAGATGATAGATGATTAGGTAGATGATAGATGATAAGGTAGACGATAGATGATAAGGTAAATGATAGATGATAAAGTGGACAATGGATGATTTATTAAACGATAGATGACAAGGTAATTGGGTGATGATAAGGTATGTGGTAGATGATAACCGCGCAGTAACGGTCATTATTATCACGTCGGAATATGGGTGCCGTAACGAGTTGAAAATTCACATCAAAAATTGAATTAAACGTCGCCGTTTTTATAGGAAATACATACCTGAAATACACACCTGAATGGAAAAGGAAATGACAAAACAAAAAGAAGAGAAGTAGCAATGAAACTTAAACAAGAAGTGAGTTCGTTTGCTTTCTCACTTTAAATACTTTAGTTTCATATCACGAATTGTAATTTATTTCGAGAGGTGTCACTCCACTATGGTGATATTAAATGGGCTACATACTGTATGTTTTTTTATAAATTTTTTCGTTACAACGATTATTTTGTTTCATGTACATTCAGTTTCATTTGTAGCATCAGCAAACACAAGGTTTATTTATAAGTCGAACTAGTGTTGTTCTTCACTGACCCATTCCTAGAAAGTCCTTTAGCTGGAACTGTACTTGGACGATCACTCCCTGAGAAAGCGAACAAAGTTGGGGCGGCCACCCGATGCTCTATCTTCAGCGGCGACAGTATCAATCTGCCACCAAACGGACGATTTCGGCAGCCTGGCCAAACTGCACTAGAAATCGAGGAGCTTCCAAAGAGAACTTCTTGCTCAAAACTTTGAGTCTGTGACTTGCAGTCAAATGCACGCGGCTGAGACACTTCCAGCAAGAGATTTCGCTTAAAGGGGAGAGCTTATCCAAGCTAACAGGTCACATATAGATGTTTAATAGCATCTCGTCAAAATATTGTAGATACATTTTGAGAAATTAAACTATTTTGAGAGACTAATGAAGCAAAAAAATATAGTTAGCGGATGGAAGAGATGAAACCTCCCATTATCACGTGGCTTGGAGACCAAGTATTCCCAGGTTATTGCAAGGTTACTATCATGAATATTTTGTTTTCTACATGGAATTTACATCAATAAGCTTGGAAATGTATTTTAAGTCTTAAATCTGAGTTTCAACGGATTATACGCTGAAACACTTTGACATGCATAATTGCACTGAAATAAGGCAATTGCTTATTGATTCGCTTGGTCATCGCTCTTTTATCTTGATTCATTGACATAACGACTGAAAATGTTGCATTCAATTTTCACTCGTAATCAAGAAAATTAATTACGATTAATAATTCTGAACGCTTCCATGACTCACTTAAAATCAACTCTCCATGATGATTCAGAAGATCGGAGCTAAGGCTAGCAATAATCATAATTGCATACATTAACCTTACGAGCAAAAGGCATTGACCTAATAAAATAGAAGCAACATTACATATTATGATAAGCGAAATAATGAGGTAATGAATCAGATGTAACACTGTATTATGATAAAAGAAACATCGACGTAATGAATTAGATGTAACATTATGTTATGCTAAACAAAACTTTGAGGCACTGAGTCAAATGTAACATTATATATGCTAAACGGAACATTGAGGTAATTTAACAGATGTAACATTATATTATGACAGAAGAAAACATCCAAGTAATGAATTAGAAGCTACATTTTATTATGCTAAATGAACCATTAGCGTAATGAATCCGAAGCCACATTATATTATGTTAAAATGAACATTAATGTAACGAATCAGAGGAAACTTAATATTATTTTATTCGAATCTCGAGCTGCCAACATACAAGAATTTTTTTTTCT